AATTCATTATACCACCAGGGCTCCCTTATATTTGGTTAGTGTTTAACTTATTGATTTAAGCCACTGACTGACATTTTAAAAGCAGCAACATCCCCCTATTTACAGTTAACCAACCAAGACCCACTAAGGCATGTGAAGAAACCACTGATCATTCATTGTGTCCCCTCTTTGGTTTTTTTGGGCTTGTTTGTTTTTTTCACCATTAACTTTGCATCCTAAAAACATCTTATGGCTACAGAACATGATTTTTTTTTATTAAATACTTTTATTGGGGGCTCTTCTCTTATTACAATCCATACATTCATCCATTGTGTCAAGCACATTTGCATGTATGCTGCCATCATCATTTTAAAAGCATTTTTTTCTACTTGAGCCCTTGATATCAGCTCCTCATTTTTCCTCCTCCCTCCCCTGCTCACCCTCATGAACCCTTGATAAGTTATAGATTATTATTTTCATATCGTAGGACATCCTCTATCACTCTTCACCCACTTTTCTGTTGTTCGTCCCCCTAGGAAGGGGTTATATGTTGATCCATGTGATCGGAGTCCCTGTTTCTCTTCCCACCTTCCCCTAGTCCTCCTGGTATCTCTATTCTCATTGTTGCCCTAAAGAGTTTATCTGTCCTGGATTCCCTGTGTTGCAGGCTCTTATCTGCAGCAGTGTGCATGTTCTGATCTAATCTGATTTGTAAGGTAGAATTGAGGTCATGATAGTGGAGGGGGGGCATTAAAGAACTAGAGGAAAGTTGTGTGTTCCGTCGGTGTGTTCCATTGGTGTACCCTGCCTGGCTTATCTCTTCCTTGTGACCCTTTTGTGAGGGGATGGCCAATTGTCTACAGATGGCTTTGGGTCTCCACGTCTTCCTCCCTCCCTCCCCACATTCACATTGGGTATGATTTTGGAACCTGAAGGGTTTTTTTTTTTTTGAACCTGAAGTTTTTAACATGTGTTTTCAAATAGTTCTTTGTGATGTTGACAATCCCTTGGCCCTCTCTTAATTCAATAATTTACATCATTAGAAGAAAAAAATTTAGATAAAGCTAGATCTGGAATTCTATTATGTTTTGGGGCTGCAGACTTGATAACTTCATTTTCTAAAATAGCTTCACTACCTACACCTATTATTAGGTTTTTTTTGTTTTTTAACTAGAGCAAGGGATGGATGTAGAATCTGGAATATTTCCTATGTGTGTTGTGATTTGTAGTTAAGCACAAGTGGTACACAGTAGCACGACAACTTGCACCCACTGAATTTTAGCGTCCGCTGGAAGAAGTCTCTTTTGACTCATTAGATTTTTAAAAGGAAGTTCTTTTTGGAATTATCTCAGGGGAGTCACAAATCGTTTTCTCTTTATCTTCTACAAGTTTATGCTCTTTGTACTCTCTTTAGTTGTTGCTGTTTCATTTGCCCTGGCTATAAACTTATGTCATTTTAATTTTGGTGCTACTGTGACAAATGAATTTGAATAGCAAAAAATAAAGAAAATTCGTCAAACAAAATTTCCGTTTGAATTTGGACATTACAACAAACACATCTGTTTCGGGGGTCTGTAAGACAGTGTGGAAAGCAATGCCGTGCATCCTCAAACAATTGGGAACAGCGATACATATATGACCTAGCACTGACAGCAATGACAATGACTGTTCTCTACAGAAAGAAATAACAAAGCGCAAGCAGATGTATGCACACCAAGTTCATTACTAATCACAATAGTAAGGAGATGGAAACCTAAATGCCCCTCCGTGGGAGACTGGACAAATGTACTTTGGCATATAGAACGGAACACTGCACGTCATTCAAAGTGATGAAACGGTGATGCCCCTCATGACATAGATGGATTTGGAGAACATTATGCAGAGTGAAGTTAAAAAATAATAATAATAACTCACTGCTATCCAGTCGACACAACTCATTGTGACCTGACAGCACAGGGTAGAAGTGTCCCAGTGGTTTCTGAGACTAACTCTCTTTACAGGAGTAGAAAGCCCTGTCTTTCTTCCCAGGAGTGGTTGGGAGGTTTGAGCTGCTGATCATAGCCCCATGCATAACCAGGGCTCCTCGAAGTTAGCCCATTACAAAAGGACAAGTATTATATAAGAGCACTTTTGTGGGGGACATTTTTCAAGAAGAGGTTCTCACACTAAAAGAGTCTTTGTTATCCGGGGTAAGAAGGGAAGGGAGGGAGGGAGGTTAGAGTTTCCCAGAGTGGGTGATACTGCTCCCTGCAGGGGCTCTGGAACGATCCAGGGGGTCTTCAAAAGCAGATGCTCACGCTATATCCTGGAATCTGGGCTGTAGCACACAGGTTTTCATTTTCAGGGTCATGCTGAGTAACTTTTTTTTGAATAGGAGGCGATAGGCCAAATACCTTTGGGGACCTATAGGCATGAGCTTGGGTAAAGGGGATGACAACAACCTCCAAGAGGGAGATGGGGTGTTGGGGGTGGGGAAAATAGGGTAAGCCATGGGAACAGCTGTTGAAGTTGCTGAATGCAAAAATGATGATGGGATAGGTAAACCTCCACCTAATTCACGAAGAAAGGCAGCAAATTGAAAAGGTTGATTTGGAACATTGTCATGTTTGTCAAGTCTGGGATAGGCAAAAGATCTAGTACTTACAAGGCCCTTGGAAATAACGTCATGTGCTGGCTGTACGATGTTCGTTGTCTCCTCCTTCCCCGAGCTCCACCAGGGTTTGTTGTCTCGAACTAATACTTACAAGTCAGCACGCTCCCTCTCTGAGCTTTGATGTTGCACCTTCAAGGCTCTCTGGTCATGGGCCAATCCTCGGCAAGACAAGAATGGCCGCAGAGAACATGATACAAGTACAAGGGTCTGCTCAACCTGAAGACGTGTTTGGGTGAGCTCTGCGAAAACCGGGACCAGGTACATCCTGAGTCACATGACAATAGCGCCGCTGGCTTGTTCCTCTGTGTTCAACGAGAGAGAGCAGAATGTGAGGTAACCGGCTTGGTCCAAAATGATACGGTAAACATTGGTATTGTATACAAAATATATTAAATGTCCATATTATTTTTGTGTGGAATGGTTCAGCTCCCACATCTGGAAATAGATCCACAATTGACATGAGAATAGTACGCTTCCTCTACCAGCAAGTTTGTTTTTCAAGTCACAGTAATATCAATCAATTTCTTAAAAGAAAGTCAATCTGAAAGGAAATGGAAAGCCAAATACACTTATGTAATTTTATTATTTCAATACTCACCTATTTTCTGATAGGCTCCTTCCATCCCTTTACATGGAGATGCTACGTACATAGTCGGGGTAACATACAAATGTGATTATCTGATGTACAACCCTTGTTGCTTTCTTAAAAGATGAATTTAGAAGCACACTCACTGGTGCAAAATAGAAACATGTTTTTCATGCTATATATGTTGAACATTGTGTTCTCCTAATGTGCCTAATGCCTCATTTCTTAGCACATAGAGACTAATATCAGGAGCCCGGTGATGTGGTGGGTTACACAGTAAGCTGCTAACTTAATGTAACTTAAGGCCAATAGTTCATTACCCACCAGCCACCCCTCAGGAGAAAGATGAAGCTCCCTGCTCCTGAAAAATTTGAAATCTCAGAAACTCAAAGATGAACTCAAAAAGTTCATCTTTATCCCTCAGGGTCAGTACGAATGGGAATCAGCTCAGTGGCCGTGGGTGTTCAGAGTAGCATCTAGCACCGGGTCCTGTGCAACAGACAATAACACATGAAACTCCCATGGTATGGAGGCAGACTGGCAAAAGAAACTCCATTTTTGTTAGCTGCTGAACGACCTGCCTCTTCCCCGTCCTATCTCAGAAAGTCCCACCAGTGATTTATTTTAGAATGCACTCTCGGGGCCTCGAGCTCAGAACATTGTCATTAATAATATTGTTCCTTTCGTTGTTGTTACCAGGAACCAGGTTGCTATCATCAATGCTGTGCTCTGTAACACTCACTTAACTGTAAAGAGTAGTCTTAACCCTTATCAATGCCTCAATTACAACCTTCCATGTTAGATAAATATTAATCATTGCAGGACGAGTTGGGCATCGGCTATGTGTGCTGTTGTGAGTCACTGAGTCAGTTCCTTCTCCAGGGACTGGTTTCTCCTCATAGTCTTAAACTGTGATCCCTGTTAATGTTATATTAAATGTTCGCTGGACCCACCCACAGGTATGCCAAATCTATTTTAAAGTTAGCATCAGTATTGTTGTCCAAGCTTACTTTGACAAAACTTTGTACATAAATGTTATCTAGTTAAAAAGCAACTTGACTGAGCTCATTGTGATGGTTGATTCACTCAACATCCCTCCCTTTTGCACGTCATCTGGGACCGGAGTTCCCACGTGTTGTTTACCGGGATCCTGACAAGGGGCGTCGCCGGCTCTCCTGGCTGGAGTTGCTGGATCAGCAGACATGGATGAACAAGAAGGTTCGCTCTCAAAGTAGATCAGAGAACTGTTACCTATTCATATAATCTGCCCTTGCCCAATAACGCTCATGTTGGATCATGTTGCAGATTGGGTAAATGTAACCAGAGCTAGACTTGACTGTCCACCCACCTCTTGTTAATTAGGAAGAAACAATGTACTCCCCAGAGTCTGGCTGAGGTAAGGAGTTACAATTACACAGGAGAGGACAGAGGACAACAAAGGTGTTGGAGTGATAGGGACCTCACAGCTTAAACTACCCTGACCCTGGCACCAACTGAACTTGATTGCTAGCACATTCTCAAACAGGGAAGTTGGTCTCAAGTTCACTTAATGCCCTTTGGGTTCTCTTCCACTGCGACAGGATGGGTGTGTCCTGTCTGCTTGGCATCGATGGGTCTTTGCTTTGGACAACTGGTGCCCCTCTTTTGCCGATGGATGTTGTGTTTACCTCGCTTACTGGGTAACCCATGCTTTCTGGGCAACCCATGCTTTCTGGGCAGTACAGGCCAGTGCAACTAATATATGAAACAGAACTTTCTAATATTAGACCTCCCCTGTCTTTTGAACAAGGGAACCCTGTTGGCGTAATGGATTATGCACTGGGCTGTTAACCACAAGCTCTGCAGTTTGAAACCCCCGGCTGCTTACTCCGCAAGAGAAAGGTGAGGCTTTCTACGCCCTGAGTTACCATCTCAAAACCCGCAGAGGCTGGTTTACTTTGTCCTCTGGGCTCCCTATGAGTTGGAAGACTCGATGAGATTGAGTGAGTGAGTGAGTGAGACTGAAGCTTTTGAGGTTATTGGCTGCAAGTTATCTCCTAGTGAGCAGACAGTCTCCTCACTCTGTGGCAGGGTCAGTAACTGTACTGAATCATAGACCTACCTTGGAAGCCCACAGCAGCATTCTACCCTGTTCTCTAGGGTCGTTATGAGTCGGACTCAACTGGATAGCACTGAGTGTGGGTGTGTATTTGTTTAATCTTTTAAACAGACCAAATTTAATCACATCCAAATATATAATTAAAATTACACTTAATACATCAGACCCTATTAAATTCTTTAAGCACTTTGAGAAACAGAAAAGACTTATCCAGAATATCGCAATAATTATACCTAATGCAGGGACGAAGATTTTTCACCTTAATCCTTGTATGAACACTTTGGGATTTTTCAAACTCCCAGGATTTTGGTTGATCCACTATGTACCATTCTAAGGAGTCGGCAAGAAAATGAGCAACAATAAGGGTGAATTTCAAACACATTGCGAATACGAAAGTCCTCCAGTCAAAGCACATGCGGGGAAAAGGAACGGTCTGGAGGACTTTGGCGGGTTAAGGTCCGCGGATTCTTTAAGGGGGCGGAGCCCTGTCTTTACCCCGCCCAGAACTGAGCGAACCCACGCCCAATAAGAAACACGGTCGCGAAGAGGGAGGGGCGTGCGTGCTGCGTGATGTCGGAGTGATGTCATCATGCTGCGACCGAACCTTCCCCGTACGGTGGCGCCGGACTCAAGGACTTGGGAGATTAGTGGGCACTCCGGGCCGCTGTTGTTGCAGGTGGGTTCCGTGGCTCCGCCTCGTGAGAACCCTCAGAGCGGATCCAGCCTCACGGAACCTCGGAGCTTTCTGTCCCCAATCTGTCTGGGCGGGACGGGTTCGGCAGAAACTGAGTGCGTCGTGAGGACCGCTGGCCGCCACGCCGAGGGCTTGCGCGCCAGGCAATCCAAGCTGGGAGTAGAGTCAGCCCAGCGCAAATGAAAGAAATTCGGGACCCCCTAGAAGGGCCCCTGTAGGTTAAATCCTCAAAGCACCACCATGGTGTTATCCCCGTTTTATAAGGAGTGGGGGAACCAACCGAACCCTTCTGTGAGCTTGGCCTCTTCTAGTGGCATAATGGTTCTGCGCTGGGCTACTGGCCACTAGGTCAGCAGTTCGAAAACACTGTCCTTTAGGGTGACTGTGAGTCAGAATTGACTCATTTGAAAATGATGATGGGTGAGAGAGTGACAGAATCCATTGGGTGAGTTATAAGCAACACATTGTTCAATGCTGAAATTTGCCTTCCAGGTGGTCAGAACTCATAATGTCAGTCGTTCGTTCATCCGTCCATGCCAAGTGGATCGTGGGAAAGGTGATTGGGACAGCAATGCAAAAAACTGCTAAAGTGAGAGTGACCAGGCTGGTTCTGGATCCCTATTTATTAAAGGTGAGCAGCAGCCCTGGGTGCAGGCAGCACTGACAAAGCGCCAGCATGTGCCAAGCAGTCCCGCAGAAAAATACCTCCCTGTCACAATGAGGGCAGTCCTGGTGGCCCTGTGCTTTCGGCCTTGGACTGCCAACTGCAACTCCTATAGGGTCAGTACGATGCCGTGGTGAAGGATTCTAGTATTGCTAATGAAGCTTTCACGGAGCCCCAGTGGGATAGTGGTTAACCTTTGGACTGCTAAACACAGAGTCAGTAATTCAAACCACTAAATGCTTCTTGAGAGAAAAACAGGGTTTTCTACTCCCTTTAAAAGTTAACAGTCTTTAACTCACAGGGGCAGTTCTACCCTCAGGATCCCTATAAGTCGACATTGGCTCAATCGCAGTGTGTAAATGAAACTTTCAAACCGTAGGAACCGTTGTGAGGGGCACGGGACTGGGCGGGGCTTCCTTCTGTTGTCTGTCGGGCCGATCTGAGTCCAAACTGACTCAAAGACAACTAACAACAGCACAATGAAACATTGAGCATCTGTTCTGTGCCTTGGGGTTGTGCTGGTTTGTAGGTGTTATTAGGTGTGTTAATTATGATCTCCTCAGGGTTCATTTCAAATCTGATGACTACTGGATTGTACAGTGAAACTTGGGAAAGCTGAACTTGATGGCATTGTCTCATTTCCCCTGGATCTTGCAAAATTTTCACCTTTGGCTTAGTGCAGTCTTGCCACTTTTACATCACTTAAGTGGAAAATAACTTGAGTTTTCCTTCTTTATTTAAGGGTTCCATCTCCCAACTTTTCCTGGTTTTATTGTCTATGCAAAGTACTGTTTGAGCAGACAGTAAAGCACTTAATTCTTTCAGAGAACTAGAGGAGAGTTGTAGCATTTTATCCACAGGACCAGCTGAGTTGGGGTTTTGCTGTGACAGCAAGAGAGTCAGCAAACTTGATTGCCCTGCTTAGCACTTTATAGGCACCCTTGTAGAATGAGTGGTGGCTACAAACAGAGCTGCATTCTGAAGTGTCTGGTGGGTGGTGTTTACAAGTTGGAATGCCATCCTACAAGCACAGGCAAAGCCAACCTAGAGACGAAGGGGTGGGGCTGGAGGTAAAGGAACTCAGCAAGGAGCCTATTGCACAAGGTGTATGGTGGACCTGAACTCACGGTCTAGTTTGAGAGGCGATAGTAAATATCAGAGAAAAGGAACTTGGCTCATTGACTTATTAGATGTACAAAGGATGGCTTTGCGTTCCAGGTCGCCCTCTGGGGTAAATAGAAATGTTGCTTGTTATGGAAGCCCAAAGGAGAAAGCAGAAGAGGAAAGCCATGATCGCTGGTCAGGAGATCTAAGTTTGAATTCTGACACTGCACGTTCTGAAACCTTCCTGAGACTGTTTGCTTCACCTATAAAATGGGCATACTTGTATGTCCACTAGGTTAGAGGACTAGGGCAGTGGCTCTCAACCTGTGGGTCTCGACCCCTTTGGGACTCGAAAGACTTTCACAGGGGTCGCCTAAGATCACGGGAAAACACATAAATATTTCCCAGTATATAATTACATATTGTTTTGTGGTTAATCACTATGCTTTAACTATGTTTAATTATGTTCAATTTGTAACAATGAATATATATCCTGCATATCAGATATTTACATTATGATTCATACAGTTATGGATTTTATGAAGTGCAGTTTGAAGTAGCAACGAATAATTTATGGTTGGGGGTCACCACAACATGAGGAACTATAACATGAGGGTCACAGCTTTAGGAAGGTTGAGAACCACTGGACTAGGGGATGCCAGTGATCACTTAGGACTTGTTTACAATACTTTTGAGACAAGCACATGGCTAAATTCATTCTCTTGATAACTTTAGAGCTATAGGTGTTCGAGCCTGATTTGGGTGGTGGGACTAAAACGGGGCTCAGTGACTAAGTGACTTGTCCCTAGTCACGTCGAATGCGGGCAGGAGAGAAGGCTCCAGAAGGAAGGACTGTTTACATCTGGTACGGAGAGAAGACAGTGGTAGAATAGGACTCCTGATGGGAGTCCAAGCCTAAGTGCTATGCCCCCTCCAAAATCTCCTTCCAGCTGGGTCCGGCCTGACCCGATGGCAGGCGGGGGCCTCTGACGCCCTCCTCTCCTTCTCCCACCACAGTATTACAACAAGCGCAAGACCTACTTTGCCCATGATGCCCTTCAGCAGTGCACGGTGGGGGATATCGTGCTCCTCAGAGCCTTACCTGTGCCACGCTCGAAGCACGTCAAGCATGAACTTGCGGAGATTGTTTTCAAGGTCGGAAAGGTCATCGATCCCGTGACGGGGAAACCCTGTGCAGGAACCGCGTACCTGGAGAGCCCCATCCAATCCGAGGAGCCCCCTCACCTGACCGAACGGCTGGAAGGACTCAGCGTCTCAGCGCAGTAAAGGCAGCGAGATGCGAAGGCGCCAGAGGAGAGACTGCGACTGCCCGCAGTGCCTCCGTAGCCTGTGCGACTCCTCTCCCTGGTAGTTGTGAAACAGCTCAAAGCAGCGGAAGGAGAGGCTGGTTGTACTTTCGCCTAAAAGTATTTTCATGAAGGCTCTGTTTTCTTCTCAGGGACCTGGCATCGTTCCATAAGCTCCTGGTTTTAAAAGCTGCATCGTTTTGTTGTTGTTGATTTTCATTTAAGAACCACCTTGGTCTTGCCCAAGAACTTTTCTCTGGAGAGAAGAAAACTGTTGCCGTCATGAGACCACATTAAACACGGTTTTTTGGTGAATTTAAAACATTCGCTACCCCACCCCGTGGTTTCCTCCATGGAAATAAGTCATCATGCCCGTGGTCAGATTGTATCAGCTGAAGCTGATCAAAATTATTAAAATGTCAAACGTGGAAACATTTTTAAAATCCGGTGTCACTTTTCTCACGTCTCAGATGCCAGCTGGGCTAGTGGACTACAGCCAGGGGCAGTGGCCATCCAGTCGGCCCTGACTCGGGGCAGCAGAACTGGACTCCCCGGAGTTTTCTTTTCTTTTTTTGGAGGTTTTATTGTGGGTTCAGTGAAAGCTTACACAACAAGTTGGTTTCCCCTTCAGCAGTTTATACACAAATCACTCTTTAACGCTGGCTGCAGTCCCCTGGGTGTGTCAGCACTCTCCCCAGTCCACCCTGGGCGCCCCGTTTCCATTCATCCAGCTCCCCTGCCCCTCCCCTTGCATTTCGAATTTAACATGTGGGCAAATGAGTGCCCTTTGGGTCACGGAGAGTAGAATATTCTGAGGACTACATTCCTCACAGGTGTTACTGTTCACACTGTAGGCTTGCGCACCCATAGGGTTTTCACTGATTGAGTCTTTGGATTTCCAGGTCTTTCTTCTGAGGTGCCTCTGTGGATTTGACCTGCCACCTTGAACTCTCATTTCTGGTTTCTAAAAAGACACCTGGTGCCATAGTGGTTACTCATTGGGCTGCTGCTCACAAGGTTGACAGTTCAAAACCACAGTGGCTTCACAGGAGAAAGGCAAGATTTTTCTTAGTCCCGTGAAAAGTGACAGTCTCAGAAACCCACAGGGGCAGATCTAGTCTGTCCTCTAGGGTCGCTGTGAGTCAGCATCGACTGGATGGCAGTGAGCTGGGTTTGGCGTTTCTAAAGAGAGACTGGATCCTCTTGGCCGGAGCTGTGCCACGGTGCCTGCAGCCCCTCACTGCCTGTCTCCTCAGGACTCACTGTTATGGGTGGGGTGGCCTGCCATCATGGGGAGGGGAGAGATGGGGGTCCGTCCCAGAAGTGAGGGTGTTAGAGCTCACTCCAGACAGGCAGGTAGAGAGGGGGGCATTCCAGGCAGAAGAACGGGTGTGTGAAGAGACGAGCAGGGGAGAAATGCTGGGGTGAAATTCCACTGTAGGTGCTTGTGGGTCCTTTAAAGGGAAAGGGGCTGGTTTTCAGTAATGGGTAGCATCCATCCATGTGGAGAAGGGACTTGAAAAGATTAGAGGTAAGTGACCAGAGACCTGCCAAGGGCTGTGAGTCCCAGACCTGAGTGACGTGGGCTGGGGACACAGACAGATGCTGCTCCAAAGAGCTCAGGAGCGACACCAGGGTGAGTGAGTAAAATAGGAAGCAGCCGTTAGGGCTGCCAGCTGCACCGCCCCTGTCATGTATTTAAATGCTGTCCAAATGCATCTCTGGAAGCCCAGTTCTCCAGTCACCTCCAAGATCCCGGCTTCGGAGCCCCTCAGTCCGTAAGCCCTGTTGCCTGGGCTCGCAAGGCTGGTTGGCAGAGGCCTCCCAGCTGCTCAGTGCTGAGGACATTGGAACTGGCGGACCACTCAACTGTCTCCTTGAGATGCTTCCTGCTCCGCTGCAGCCTGCTCCTCTGGCCGGCCATCCTGCCTCAGCTGCAGTTTTTAATATCCGTCCCTATCCTCCAGGACACCCCTCTGCAAGCTGCTGTCAGGAATGTCCTCTCCATTATGAACCTCTCCATTTCAAGAGTGACGCACGCTGATCCCTCAGCAGTTTACATCATGTCTCCGTTGGGTGCCGAGATGAAAGGGAAAGACACCAGAAAGAACTTGAGTATGTTTCCACCCAAAATGTTCTTGTGCTGTTTATTGTTAAAAAGGGTCATATGTTTGCCACAAGCCCCGGTGACACAGTGGTTAAGTGCTTGGCTGCCAACAAAAAAAGGTTTCCAGTCAGCTATACAAAGCCACTGCTACTCTGCACGAGAAAGATGCGGCATTCTGCTTCCATAAAAATCACAGCCAGGCATCAAAGACCAAAAAATCATATCATTGTAAACGAGGGACCCAAAGTCCATCTGTAAGCAATGGGACATCCCCTTACAGAAGGGTCACAGGGAGGAGACAGCCAGTCAGGGTGCAGTGCGGCAACAGTGAAACATACCACTTCCCTCTAATTCTTAAATGCTTCCCCACCTCCACCCCCCACTATCATGATCCCAGTTCTACCTTACAAATCTGGCTAGACCAGAGGATATGCACTGGTACAGATAGGAACTGGAAACATAGGGTATCCAGGATAGATAATCCGTTCAGGACCAGTGGTGAGAGTGGGGTGGAAGGAAGGTGGGTTGGAAAGGTGCAACCGATTACAAGGATCTACATATAACCTTCTCCCTGGGGGATGGACAACAGAAAAGTGGGTGGAGACGTCAGACAGTGTAAGACATGACAAAATAATATATAAATTATCAAGGGTTCATGAAGGAGAGGGGAGCAGGGAGGGAGGGGACAAAAAATGAGATGCCGATACAGAGCAAATGTTTTGAGAATGATGATGGCAACAAATATTCTTGACACATGGATGGATTGATGGATGGAATGTGATAAGAGTTGTACGAATCCCCAATTAAATGATTTAAAAATAATAATCACATTCTTGGAAACTCGTTGAGGGGATGTACCACCTGCCCTGAAGTCACTGTGCGCTGGAAAGTGGAAATTTTCCAGTTTGGAGTTTGGTTTTGAGGTATTTGCAGGGTATAAAACTCGAGCATGGTGCAAACGGTCAGTGCCCTTGGCTGCTGATTGCAAGGCTGGAGAGCTTCAAGTCCCGGGAGGAAAAAGGCTTAGCAACCACTGAAAACCCTTCGTTCTACTCTGACACGCACAGGTTGGGCAAAAGCCAGGCTCTCTGGACTCCTGGTTTTGATAAGATTCCGAAGGTGTTGCAGACCCACCTTACATGCAAACCCCCCGAGTTGCTGGGTTTCCCGGGGCGACTCGG